CAAATGCAGTTCCTATCACAGTACAAGTATAATATGCTACAGTGGCGACCCGTCTATGAACCACAGAGGGCTAGCATGCACAAAAACAAGACATTGGGTTCCGTTAGGTTTGCTTGCACTGAGTTGGAGTAAGTGGGTTAGGTTGGGTTAGTTCTGGTTAATTTAAGTTACAGGGGATTTAAGTGTGGCCCCGGAGGGTGTACACAGGGGGGGGTGCCCTTTTGGGATCCGGTATGGGGATTTTGGGGGTGAGTACGGGGGAGAGGATGTACAACTGGAAGAAGACCCCCACGTGGGACGCCACGATGGATGGAGCAAAGTCCAATTTATGGGGTGTGGCCATAAAAACTGAGAATCTTAACGGCGTGATGGAGCCATGAGAGAGGGTTACCTATGCGTCTCATGTAACGCAGCCCGCAGTTGGGTAAAAGCCCGTCTGTGAATTCAATTTGGTTAGGTTATAATATGTTCGGTTTCGTTACGTTAGGTTGGGTTAGGTGAAGGTGGTTAACATGGGATAAGTTAGATAACGTTGACGGCCTTCTTAAAAGTGTTCATCGTTTTCGACAAACCTATTTCCAACGGCTGTGCGCATTTGGAAGCAAAATCAAGGTATTCCGAGACAGAATACACTTCCCAGTCGTGCTCACTTCGTCCTGCTCTGTAACTCCTAATCAGGATTAAATAACACTGTGGGTCAGAACAAGAAGGTAAATATAATCAATGCCAACGAATGGAAATGATACCAAGCTGGCTCCTTTTATCTGCCATCCTGTTATCCTCCCATCTTCAATTCGGCCTCCAAAAAACTTTTCCAAAACGTTTTCCGACAAAAATGTATATTCATTCTTCTTATCCCTCAACCCAAGCCACATGCCTAGATTTTGATATTTTTAAAACCGCCTAATGACCTGTATAAACCACCATGTTCCTAGCTTTATGTACAATATCCTAAATGTTTACCTCTCCCTTCCTAGAGCCAAAGTAAACACAAATAAAGCATGAAAAAAGCAGAAAAGGAAAATTTGTCGCGTATGAAACCCAAATATATATTAATTACGAACCAAAAACTGTATGATACATTTCACACAAATGTAAACACATGGATCTGCACATCCTTTGCCTTAAAACGCTTTTGTCTGATAACAGATTTTGAAATTTCCAAATAATGACAAATAATACATAATAATAAACCTATCAAACTTACTTCAAATATCCCTCTAATATTAAGTCATGCTCACTGGCAATGGACATAATGTTTACGTGTCTCCACTGCTACACAATCACCATTTATCATTGGAACAGAACATGTAAAGAAAAGGTGTAATTACGTAATTCTACTCCCTTTTCCAATGAACTAGGGGCCAAATTGTATTTGCCCCTTCCCACAACCATGATAACAAATTTAGTAGAACTGTGTATCGTAAAACAACGTGTTTTCGATAAAATCACATTGCATCTAATTTACCTGAAAACGGCCGAGCTTATTAGTAATTCATATTATTTCGTTTGATTCTGCCGCTTGTTGCGTCGACTGCAGATAAGGAATTCAGCACAGTCCACAAAGTTTCACAATAATTGCGGGAAAGTGGCACTATCTAGGCTGTCCGTTTATAAACCGAAAATAAAAGAGTCAGTGAATACGAAATTCCTCGGTTTGCAAATTTATAACCACGTAAACTGGACAAACCATTTTCATAAACTGACGTAAGTGGAGCATGTTACGCATGTCAGCAACACTAACATACTCAAACTAACTTATTCTGCATATTTTTACTACATAATGAGGTATGTAATAATTTGGGGGAGGGGGGTCGTTCATATAATAGCAATAAAATATTTATTTTAAGAAAGAAAATTGTTAAATTAATGGCTAGCGTCGAACCTGGAATTTCATGTAGAAGTCTGCAGGTCTTACTTCTTCCATGTGAATATATGTTCTCATTAATGAACTTCACTAAATAACCAAGAACATTTTCAAAATAATTCTACTATACACAAAATTTCACGTTTTCAGAAGAGTGAATATTACGCTAGCATCAAAAAATGTCAATAGTCTGATATCTACTCTTACAAGTCTTATAAATAGAAAGTCACAATTTAAACTAGCAATAAAAATATACTTACTTATACTATCCTTGTACTCTGTTGATTTATTTATGATATTTACAAATAACTCAAAATGTTAAAAAAAGGTTTTCTTGTCTATATATTCTGTAAAATGGTAGTATAATTCATCTCCTCTATGTCACAGATGTATTTATTTGTAAAATTTCACTGGTTTATATGGATCCTTATTTTATATTAAATTTTTATAATAGTTTGAATTGTAGTTATATATATATATATCGTATTATTATGACTTATCCCACATTCTATTGCCATCTGACTAACTTGTGGATCAACGTTATGTAGTAAATAAGTATGTAATTTGGAGTATTAAGTAACCACGTTAAACAACGCCCTGGTGATGGAGGCATCACGAACCTCTGAAACGTCGGTAAACTTCTACAAGACTATACGTCACTACAGCTCGGACTACAGACATTTAGAAAATGCAAATCTCCTCTCGGTTCATGCATTTTATTATTCTCTCCTGGTTTCGGAACGGATTGAAATAAATAGGTTCAAAGGACGTGAATGGGTTCGTGCGCCTCGAAATAAGGACTAGCGGCGGATTCTTACCAACACGGTAAAAAGAAACTTGGGTTAGAATAGAATGCGGTGAATTTCTTAACTACCTGACGGATTGCGCCCAGTGCAGTTTTGCAAATAACTAAATAAAATAACGTATCTTTCAGTAGTTCCGAAACTTAGACTCTGACGCCGAGAAACGTAAAATGAAAGAAAATCTTCAAATTTTATACTGACCACAGTATTTCAACATAAAACATAACAACTACCTGCGGATGGAGAAAATTATATAACAAAAGAACTTGATTTATGACCACCAAATTATTTATATCATTAGATCGTAAATAAAATTTATGTATCACCTGAGATAAAATTAAAGAAACTAGAAGAGAATCAAGTGGAACGAAAAAAAAGTTTTGTGTCCATATAAAATGTAACGAATGTTTGGCTGCAGTTGTAAATTTCGAATTCTGCAATTCCCACAAATATCTTCAAATCACTTTGCATTATTATTACTATAATATTTAGCTCATTTACTTGTTAATTATCACTCAATAAAAGAATTGAATTATTATTATTATGGTACATTTATATATTTAGTTCCATTTGTTTGATTTTGTATTTGTAATGTTATACATTTATTATTATCGAAATGAATGTAATTATTGCATTATATTTCATCCAGTACTTTTGTTCAGAGCTTGGCCGTTATTGACCTTATCTGGCTGTTGTAAAGCACTTAAATAAATGAATTGAATTGAATTGAATTTTATCCCCATCAAGTCCGATACCATCGTTACTTCGGTGAAAGATGGGTGGCCTATCACACAGGCAGTCAGAGACCACACTCAGGAACAGACTACTGTGAAGCTCGCACATTCGAAAATTCATTAGTAAAGTAAAGTTTGTCCCACTATACGCCATGTAGGCGTTTGGGGGGAGTGGAGGTATAGCTCCTACTCATTCTTGACCTCGGCACTAGATGGGGGTGAGTGGTCAACATCACGCCCCGGCCGTCTTTACCCCCGGGAAAGGACCCCGGTACCCATTGTAGAGGAGGCTGGGTGGGCCGCAGAGCCGGTCTGGACGCAGAGACTAGAGGAAAAATCCTCTGCCCCCGTCGGAGATCGAACCCCGGTCGTCCAGCCCGTAGCTAGTCACTATACTGACTGAGCTATCCAGGCTCATTCATTCGAAAATTCATACACTTAAAAAAGTAAAATCATGTTCAAATAAGATTTTCAACATGAAATATTTGTATCACAATGTATCCATGCTCATACGTGATTCTAATCACAGAACGTATCGCAAAATTAGATGAAACACGACAATCTTACAGCAGCTTCATTGTTTGTCACGGCACGCGAGGCGCTCAGTACCTAAAAGGTATATTACTACTAATATTACTAAGAAATTCTTTTACCGGATAAAAGGTGCGGCCTGAATGATTTCTTTCGTTATAAATTTCTCTCAACCATGGATTTTGTTGCTGTATTTCATATCTTCCTTATTATTTATTATTTAGTGTTCTGTCTGACGCCAGGTCCATATGAACAGGATCCTTCCATCCTTTTCTCGGACTGGGACCTGTTCATATACGTTCTTGGCAGATGATCCAGAAGTGGTTTGCCATTGCCTTCTTCTGTGTGTGAATGGAATAATTGTTGGGATGCCACGGAGAAACCGGGGAAGCCCCCGGAGGAAAACTCCGTGTTGCCTAGACCACGGCCTTGCCCAACACAAGTTATAAATTCGGGCACCGTCGGGAATCGAACCCGAGACCCCAGGATTACAAGGCCAGCGTTCTAACCGCTAGACCACCGTCTAGACTTCCTTACGCGCCTTTAAATTCGGGTTACTGCAATCTAGAGTTCAAGTTACGAAACATAATTTGCATTGCATTTCATACCAACTAATTTTAGCAGCGAAATAATTTCAAAGCAATTTAAATAAATCGTGCATTAAAAATATAATCCTCGGTTATATTTAACAGTGGCTTTCTGAGTCGTTGCGCCCTGTAATATTCTGTTTCTGGTGCGTATGACAACATCACCCTTTAAAACCCCAAATCGTACTCAATTACATTCTTTGTTGCCGAAAGACCAAAACGTTACAAATTTATAGAAAAAAAATACGAAATGCAACAATATGTTGACTTTCCACAAGTTTAAAACACAAAGTTACGTTAAGGAAGTTAACAGGGTAATCAATTCTGGGTATAAAATTGTTCACTATCACTGAGAAGCAACTAGAACGGTCTTTATTCAAAGCTGTTTTCGTTACTTTAATTTCCAAGGCAGCGCTCCTGATGAAATCCTGTATTAATTTAGTTAAAACTAGTGTACTTTGCGAAACTTATAACTTACCTTCTCTGACGTCGCTGATCAAAGAAAACAGAGCCTAGCTTAATAACGAGTCAAACTGGACCGTCGTGACTGGACACGCATCAGAATCGAGGCATGGGCATTGCAACGTGGACTCAGTTGGCATAGGACCACGACGGCCATTCCTGTAAAAGTATCGACTTGTAAACGCAACTCTGGCAAATTAAAACCTGTCCGAAGTCAAATCTTTTCTTCATAACAATTATTCAACTAAATTTTTCATTTGTCTTCAAAAACTACGAACAGAAGAGTAGTTTTTTGTAAAATTTAACATAAATATTATTTATCATGCAACACGTATGTCGAATTTTTGTCTTTTCGTTAATAGTTTCTAACTATAAACCTTATTTATAAACGCATTTATCTTGTTATTATTTTATTTTATAGTGTCAAATAAATGAAACCTCCAACGTCATTCTTTGAAATTAGACACTAATTGGTGAACTACTATGAAAGTAATCAGCATTAAAGTACGTAAGCTAAGGATAAGGAAGGGCAGTTTTCCTTTTATGCAGGAAATCGTCCGCCATCGTGCCGTGACGTATTTTGGTGTGTGCATAACAGCACTCGGAAGGTGTATGAGTATACTTGTATTATGCTCTTTTCGGGATCCACATCCTACTCGTCGGTGTTGCCTTAAATCGAACGTTTTGAAGAGATTAATTCTCCGTGCTTCAGACTGCTAACTCTAATCCACACAAATCCATGATAACAGTAACGACACACCACGAGAATCCCAATTCGGAAAATTGGTTCATATAATAACATTTTTTTCTGTTGGATTTTTACTGCAACAACACTTATGAAAAGTAGCATCATCTAAAGTACTAGTCTGCTGAAACGGGCTTGGCCTTCCCACATTCATATATTATTTACATGAAGGGTCACGATACTGTGTCAAGTAACAACGCCCTTATGATCAGTATTTAGAACTTTGGAACACTGCACGTACCTGTTCGAACTCCTATGCGTTGTGTTGTCTATGATACAAAAGCGAATGCATTGAGGTTAAGTCTAACAAGACTTTTCAGTTTGTCATAGGCCTATTAATTTTAAATATCCGATTCTTTTATATATTTAATAAAGCTTTGATGGTAGTTTCACAAACGCCATGCGGGTTACCCCAGTTTCTGGAAAGAAAATCGAATCACAAAAGCACATTCTAGAAATTAACACATATTCCGCACACTTGCTGCAAGACAGGATAGCGTATCGTCTGAACGTTGGCAACGCAACGTATTGCGTATTATGCTGCCATCTATCATCGAGCAAACTACAACAACGGCGGCGATGGTGAGTCACTGTTGAATCAATACGCTCCACCATTTCTTCATTCACAAACTACGGTGGTTTGTGCTCATATTACACCAATGGCAAATTCTGAAATCCCGGCGTTGCACAGGAACTTACCCTGTCCTGGATCGGGATAAAAGTGTATATATGAATTGGTTTAACCAGTCTCGCTTTATTGATACCCATCAGACAAGGAATGTTTCTTTAAAAATTTAAAAACATTTCGTGTACATCAAATTAAAATCACTTTATTGAAACATACTGTAGCATAAACTAATTGCAGGTAAAAATGACTTCCATAGTAGAGGTCAGAAGGTTTGGAAAAATTGAATGAAAATATGCTTTGATAGCAAATTCAATTTCATTTAACTTTAGATCATCACTTACAGTTCAAACACACATAACACTGTTTTCCAGTCACTTCAATGAAAAAATGTTGTGAAACATGTTAAAAACTGAAGTTGCCAGATGGTATTCACACACGAAAAGACAATGTCTTACATAATAGCTATTTGCAATGGATAAAATGCAAATATTGGACAAAATAAAATTGTTAACAGAATAAACCAGGCAGTATTAATTCCTGAAAACATAATACAATTGTACTATGCTTAAGCGACTGGAGGACATGGTCATAGTCTCCGCATTATTCCAAGAATTGGAAGATCATTCAACGGTTTTGTCGAATGGGCATAAGAAAACAGCTTGCAAATAAACGTGGGAGAAACCGAAATAATGGTCTTCGGGAAGAATGAGAAAGTTACGGTCTGCTGAAACAGCCTTCATTTTTCACATTACGTGTGTTAGGGTGGTGCGAGTTCCATCCTAGGCTATGATCAACAGAAATTGAACAAAGCCAAATTATTTACTCAGACATGCGGTGAAGCCATGACTGGTGGTGCAGAGTTTGAATAACAGTTAATACAAATAAATTATCTGTGGTTCAAACCACCAACCACAAGGTGTGACAGTCAATGGGTTACATCTTTTAAATGAAAAGTGCTTCCGGAAAACTATATAATTTAAAATGTGGAAGATACTGACTGCAAACATGAGTCTAGATTCCTGCAGGAAAAACTAATGCCCACTGTACGCAATTCAATACTTTATTTACAATTGTAATTTGTGTTAGTTGGCGCTACTACAACCATAGATAACCTCCTAATGTTGGTATTACAGACAATAACATGTTTCTTATTTTCTGTGATTGGTAATCCTGAAGATGTATCGTAGTTTCCATAAAAATGGAGGTATAGTACAGTTGAAGTATAGTGTAAATAATGATAATTCTGTTTGTGCTAGAGGAACGAAAGAAGTTTAATAGCATGAAATTCTTTCTTATATAGTACTGGTATGTACACACTTACACATCTGTAAGGTTCTCATAAGAAGTTGTATTCCATAAAACTAAGATCTTCAATTCGTAGCAGGCACTGCTAAAATGTGTACATTACAGGTTAATGGAATTATCGATCCAGTAGTATCTATATGTAGCTTGAGTTATTTATCATGCTGTAAAACTTTGTAAATTACTACTTTAGTGGATAATTTCATAATTATGCTTGTATAGTATACATTTCTGTGTTCCAAGCTTTTTTTTTATAAATTAATTTTTGTGATACTCCTGATTTGAACAGTACAGTATTTTCTGATGCTACTGATAAGGATGGTTCTCAGTTCATACATACGCAGGTTATTAAGGACATTGTATTTGGTTTCAGTTGGTTACATTTGAGGTATCCAGAATGGTTTGTGAGAAGTGTGAGAAGAAACTTGGGCGAGTCATTACACCTGATCCCTGGAAATCAGGAGCACGAAATACTGTTGAAAGTGGTGGTCGCAAGATTGGTGAAAATAAGGCCATTACTGGAAGCAAATTTAGATTTAGTCCTTATACATCCAAATTTGAGACTTGTCGTATCTGTCGACAGAAAGTGCATCAAGTGGGGTCCCATTATTGTCAGGCTTGTGCATACAAGAAAGCAATATGTGCCATGTGTGGTAGAAAATTACTCGAAACCAAGAATTACAAGCAGTCTTCTGCTTGAATACATGAACTATGAATGTATAGGTAGAAACAGTATTATAGTTTTAATCCCACATTTTTTTGGATTTAGTCTGCTTTAATTCCACCACCATCATGTAGTGCATGGGATTTTCATAAACATGGTTTGCTGGTTGAGTCGTGTGACTAACAGAAACATAAAGGAAATGAACATCTTTACCAAATTCCTGAAAGACTAAGTCATAGTATTGTTGCTGTTAACATCTTGTATTAAAAAACAGGAAGTTTTCTGTGATTCATTTAGTGTGTTGACAGCCGTGAGGAACCAGTGCATTTGAGTCAACTTACTGGCTAACTTCATGTTGGTGAGTGCGTTTAATAAGGAATGTCAAGAATGATTTCCATGTAATATACTTATTTCAGACTGTAATAGTGAACCTGAATGTCATTGGACATGTGACTGTTGAATTTTGTCTGATTGCAGATTATCAGTTATATTACCATTTGTGTATATCATGTTTCAATTAATTAAATGCTGTTGGATTGTGATTTATTAATTATTATAAAATACTTGACTATATATACCTTTGCAAATTGTACTGTATTTCTTGGGGAAGAGTAATTAAAGACTATAGAAACATTTCTTGATGATTAGTGTTATGGCCAATGTGTAGATGATTCATGTCTTCTTTTAATACACTGCTTTTAAGACTTAATGTTCATATATTTATGTTCAAGTGGTAAATTTTGTAAACAAATATTTGTTTATATTATGAATTGCAACTTGAGGTGGAATGATAAGACAGGTAAAGTTAAGTTTCTCTTGTGATAAAGTAATATACCAGGAGGCATGAGGATGTACAGGGGCCAAAGCTTCACCTTGTAGACTTCTGGTCATAGAACAAGGTAAGTGAACAAATCATGTACCTGCTGGACCTCTGAATAAACTGCCTTCAATACCCAATGCATTAGATGGAGGTGGGCTATGTTGTGACAGGGTCTGAATGATGGCCATCCTACCTGTAGTCTATCAATTTAAGCCTCTTCTACCATGTCCAAATTTTTCTGATAGATGATTATATGGCTTTTATGTTGGGCATTGTCCAGGACTTCTAAGTCTGCAGCCTGCCATCATTTTGTATAGCCCAAATACCCTTGATTTAACACACTAAGTGGGGAGGGGTGGGGGGTCCAATAACAATAACTCCGTTAAATGCAATGGGCAAACATACTTTTGACTCATCCTGCATATCTTCTGAATGGATTATCATAGAAAAGATATTTTTAGGTTAGAAACATCTGATTTCAATTACTCTTATTTTACAAGTGGTGGTGGTAGTCATGGTTGTAATGATAGTCATTACTATTAGTGGTGATTAAAAAGACAAGAATCAACTTGAACATGGCTGCCCATAAAACCCAAACAACAATAGTGTTTCCCCCCCCAAAATTGTTGATTAACATTCTCTAATCTTTTTGCTGAAGCACACAATAAGCTATGCATGTGTTTATAAATATCCAAGGTTATGAGTGAAAACAGAAAGATGAGATCCTGTGCACAGTGCTCCCTATTGATCATGGGAGAAAAAACAACCATTACTTTATAATTTGTTTCTTTGATTTTTAATCTTTATGTAAATTATGCACTTTAGCAGTACATCTTCATCAAAGTCCTTAAAATTCCAGTTTAAGAAGGTAACAGATTGGGACGATAATGACAGCAAAAGTAGCGGCTGTAATTGTGGTGGTAGTAAGAAGTTGAATCATAAAATCTTACAAAATGCCTTTGAACTCTGGATGTTTACTACAAATTAATGCAGCTGATTGCCTGAGATGATTTAAGTAATTTTAGTTGCGTGAAAACTTGCATGTTTTAGCCAATTAAGTAAGTTACGATATAAAAGCACTTAATTACAAAGTTCACCAATAGCATATTTTAAATAGTACTACAGACAGATGATTCACATATAGTCAGAGTGTCTCAGGAAAGAAAAGAATGCAGAAAAAATTGGGAAGGATGTGTTGAAAAAACTTTCTCTCATCAGACACAAATAACTTTTCATCCCAGAGGCAGATGCTTAGGAAAACCTCAAAAGGATGGAAAGGATGATAATGTCCTTTATCATTGTATTCATGCTATTATTAAGATCTTTATAAACAAGATCTTGTTAATACAGAATGAAACACTTTGATAAGAACATCATTTTTGTATTTCCTGTGAAGGAAGAAAAATCGCATCCAAAAGCTAGTTGCAGTATCCATCTGCAACTTGTATGCACATTTGATCACAGTGTATTATTATACAATGCACTACAATAATTATGAGTCAAAAAGTTCAAATAACATGGGTCTGATCTGCAACAGTTTGTCAAGAGAATGAGCATTTTATTGCATTTGTAACTTTTGCATTATTTCCATTTTATTTTAGGTTACATTGTTGTTAAATTTAGAACACACTCTAAATTTCATTTTCAGTTACTCACGTTATTTACGTGACTCGAAATAGCCACCCTGATGGTCGATGCACACTTAAGCCGTCTTCAATCACGATCATTTTTGATGTTAGCACCGGAGTCTGTTATTCGATTCAGCTGCTCAGCCCACTGTTTGACTTGATGGCATACACTAGGGATTTCATGTGACTCCAGAGAAAGTAGTCCGATGGCAAAAGATCTGGTGATCTCGCTGGCCAAGAAATTGGACTACCTTGGCCAATCCAACGGTTTGGAAATTGATTCAGAAATTCAGTCACCTGCCTACCAAAATGAGAGGTGCACCATCTTGCTGTAGCCACATTTCTTGCCCAGTTAGCAGAGGAAAATCTTCCAACATCATTGGCAGCTCTTCCTGTAAGAAACGCAAGTAGCGCCGAGATGTCAAGCGGTCTTCAAGCACACGCTGCCCTGTGTCTTGTCTATGTGTGCAGCTTAGTGAACTAATTTCTCAAACACAGCCAATACATAGAGTGCAGAGCATTTTCTTGACAAAGCGTTGCAGATCGGATCCATGTTTATTTGAACTTTTTGACCCAAAATTATTCAAAGAGCACATAGTTAAGCTATGGACATCCTGTGGGACACTGTATTGAAGTGGTTGGTGATGCTGTACATAGTGGTGAATTCTGAAACATGTTTGATGAATGGTATCTGGCTAAACTATAATTTATTACAGTTTTACTATGACAATGATGTGAAAACAATAAAAATAAACCAATATCTTTTTTAAAAAAATAGATATTTACTATTTGAAGATATTACCTTATTAATGTTAAATGGTGCAATCTACAGTCCACATTCACTTTATAACTTGTATGTTCAAATCAAGTGATATACTGAAGCCGTGATGATTACATAACTCTTCAACCAAGTTGATGGCATACCACCATTAAAAATGTAAATTATGAATGACAGCAGGTACAATCACTGTAGAAGAGAATATGATTATGATTTACTTTTTTGTAAAATAAGAAACCAGAAACAAAAGAACCATAAATATTCTATGTTAATTAACAACAACAGTGATATGAAATGTTGAAATTGCACGTTAGTTTGTCACCTGTAACCTTACTAATAAACAAATATGATACAACAATAATTGTTGAGCAATAAACATATCTCATTCGACTCAACACACACCCTTGCACACTTACACAAACTTTATTCCAAACCTCTGCTTGCTGATTGATTCTGAGCACCACAATAGTTATTTACACAAAATACAAAACATTCATACTCAATTTCATCCTCAAAACATGGATATTCTGTTTAAAGAGATGGTACAGTATTTCAAAGATTTTTACAATTAACTTCAAAGGACATTTTATCTAAAATTTTAAGGGAGCGCCATATTTTTTGTTTTGAAGAATCCTTGCTGTGCTATATACATAATATTTTAGACACTTTTTTTGGTTTGTTTCCATTTCCTATTCTTCTCAAGGAATTACATTTTGCTTCAGTGTCTGTTGGTGATAAGAATGGTGGGATAATGAACTAGAACTTCACAAAATGTAAGCCGATATTTTGTGCCATTATGCAAGATTTTGTGTGATCTGAAACATTCATGGTGACTAAGTATAATGAATTTTTCTAGGGCTACCAGCCATGTCTAGTGGTTTAATTGATTAAACCACATGACACTCCTGGAAGAATTCATTATGCAAATTTTCTTTATGAAAAACAAATACATAGTTTTCAGTTGTGGTTTATTTTCAATATTTGCTGTCAAATGAAAATTATTAACTGTTCTTAGAACATGCTATGAATTTGTAAGCCAGAGCACCCACTTAGTAGTCTAAATTAAATAAAAAAGTAAGGCTGTCCCACTATATGCCATGTAGGTGCTTGAGGGGAGAGGAGGTATAGCTCCTCCTCATTCTTAACATCAGCACTAGATAGGAGTGAGTGGATGTAGAGGCTAGAGGGAAAATCCTCTGCCTCTGTCAGGGATCTAACCCCAGTTGTCCAATCTCTAGTGTCACTATACTGTACATTATTTTGCACACCCAAAAGTTAAAAAAATGGGAGCATAATGAGACAGTATATCAGCTTTTTATAGAGTTTGAAAAAGAAAGCGGTATAAATTTTCATTGAATATGGAGTAACCATAAAGCTACTTAGTCTTATTAAAATGTATTTAAATTAAACCTGTATTACTTTCTATATCTCATACATTTCCAAATTACAATGGAATGAAGAAAGGAAATGCTTTATCACCATTGCTTTTCAACTTTCATTTAAAATATGCCAACAGGAAGGTTCAAGAAAACAGGGTTTGGAACTGAATTTGGGCACATCTGTTTCTATCCAATACTGATATTAATTTATAGAGTGAAAATATAAATATTGTAAAGAATACATAATCTGTTATATACTACTAAGGATGCTGGGCTAGAAGGAAATACAGAGAAAGCTAATATGTTCATGCTTAATCACCAGACTACAGGACAAATTCATTATATGTAGGTAGGAGATAAATGCTTTGAAAATGTGACACGATAAAAATATTTTGGAATGTCGGTAACAAATAAAATTTGAATTCATGAAGAAACTAAGAAAGGATTAAATGTGGGGATTGCTTGCTGCTCTGCAGTTCATAATCTGTCTTCCCATCTACTGTCTAAAATGTACAGATTGAAATACACTACATTATATCTTTACTCATTGTGTTATATTGGTATTAAACTTGGTCTTTTACATGAAGGGACGAACAAAGTTTGAGGGTGCTTAGGAGAATATTTGCACCCAACAGGGGTGAAGAGATAGGAGTCTGGAGAATATTACAATATGGAGCTCTATAATTTGTATACTTCACCAGACACTGTCAGCATGATCAGATTAAGAACAATAAGATTGGTGAGGCATGCAGCATGCATGGTGACTTGAAAAATGTGTACAAAATGTTCGTTGGAAATCCTGAAGGGAGAAGACCAATCAAGAGACAGACCTAGATGCAGATGGGAGGATAATACTAAGATAAGTCTTAGGGACATAGGGTGGAAGTGTATTGATTGGATTTATCTGACTCAGGATAGGGACTAGTGGTGCTCTTGTGAACACAATAATGACCCTTTGGGCTCCACAAAAAGCAGATGATTTCTTAACTGAGCATTCTATTGGTTTCTCAAAAATGACCCTACTCCATGGAGTTAGGTAAGTAGTTAGTTATATCTGAAAGTTCCAGAATTATTGTATAAAAATGTTGGTAATGATATTGAAAGTTTGTTATTATGCACCTTCATTATTAATCATGAATATTTCTTGTTCAAGTTACCATATGAATCTACACAAAAACCACTAATGTTAAGAAAATCAGTCTTTTCTTCATCAGTTCCATAGTACAAGTGGGTTTGTTGGGATTTTCTAATTGTTATCACATCCATATATCCAGCCTATTTGAAAATAATGATTTTTTGCACAAATTTTTAAAAGTTTGATATGTTAAGATGAGTTATATCATAATGAGGTTGAACCTATCCAAAGAAAACAAGATTGTAAAGGTGTACTCTTTGCAGTACATTAAAATTACAGATGTGTTCTTACGCCTCTTCATCAGCAATGATGTCAGCAGTGCAAACAAAGGAATAAAAAATGCAACGATAGTAGTCAACACAACAGTGATATCCAAAGTCATTATTGCAACTATGTGACGTGTAAAAAATGTGGTCTGAGGTCACTGTTGCAATAATGAACAACAGGACTGGCAGATATGGACAGGCTCATTATGCGTTCTTCATTTATGCTAAAGCACAAACACCTAAAGGTAATTAAATTTATTTTCATTACTTACTGCTTCAGAACACGAGTTATGCACAGACATTCGCAGTAAGCATGAAGAAATTGACCAACACAACTCTTTAATGAAGTGAGAACATATCCCGCGACCTACTCCAATTCAACCCACAGTTTCAGCCATAAAATGTCGTCTTGAAACGGAAATTGTAATCCCTACGCGAAAGATTATGCTTGGGAAGTGAGAACATGAATATCCACCACAATTAATAATTTTCTGAAATTGTAAATGTTAATGAGAAAAATATTTTATATTAAGTTGCATTCTTTATGATAAATTTGCTGTAGAGATATTTTATAAAATTTTATTTCAGCTGAAACAATAAATACTTGTGAAAATAGTAGTGTCAGCAAAAGTGCAATTTGTATAGTAATATAATATTGGTACATCGGAATAATTGCTAGTTGCAGCATAAGAAATTTAATTGGTATGTGAACACAGTTTTGTAACTCGGACTTTCACCGACGCTATCCCCGCCTGATAATTGGGTTGTTTTTAAAGGAAACGGTGACACTTTGACACTGTCACCCCACAATCATTTCAAAATAAGCATCAGCTAAAGTCCGGGAGTGAGGCAAGTGTCAGACAGAGGACAGACTCGCAAAAACTAAAACCTTCTAGAACAATCCTATCGGTACAGAGAACAAAGTTCACATATTGTACCCGGAATATGCCCTTGCTGACCAATATATACACCAGCAAGAGCATTACCAAACGCTTTTTGATCTGTACAAGTCAGTCTTCACGACGACACTTCATGCAGTCAGAGTCGACCACTGCGAGAGCCTTACGCAGCAACCTAATGTATTTATTACTATTTACTAGTAATAAAGCCTTGTACGAGTCAACTCTCAGCAATACTTATTCCATCGGCGACGAATAACCAACCAACCAACCAAAATCAGCTCGACCAACGTTATTCGAACCCACACTGTACTTACACGGTTTTCCCGTGTCGGGTACGCAACAAATTGCAGGGGCAAAAAATATTGTTTCAGCTGCCTTTATAATTTTTAAGAATTGGGATGAGATTCTCTATGATAATGCACCAAAGAGAAACAAGAAAATACTTTAAGTGGGATTTATGCTGAAGCAACAAGCAACTGTTGGTAAATGATAGGCAAGTGATGTCACTTACAGAAATAGCGTGCATTTTATGAACATTTCATACCAGAATAACAGCAATATTACTTTTAAAATTATTGCTTAGTAACATGTGATATGTGTCAAAAGCAACATTGTCGCTGTAGCACTGAAAGACACATATTGGCTTATTTCTATACTTTCTATAATGGATGGAAAAAGAAGAGAAAATACATTTCCTCAATTTTTTTGTTTCCTTCTGTGTTTGCATGCATGTATTTATATATACGAATATATGTAGAATATTCTGAATTTTTTTCTTCAGATTTTATAAACTTATGGCAGTAGATTTTCAGTATGTATAAATTATGTGTCATAATGTCACATTTGTGGGACAGCCTAAGTTTATATATGAGAGCATCAAATTTGCTGATGATTCATTGTGATAATACAGATACACCTAGTAAGGTTAAGATAAATTTATAATAGGTAATTACTGCACCTTTCATAGATGAAATAAATTCATAATCTGAGTTATCACATCACTACAAATCACAACCATTACTGACTCCAGCAGAAAATTGAACCAAGAACTAAAACATACATGTATGCTCTCTCTCTCTGTCACACACGCTCGCGCATGCACACACACACACACAATATGATTTGGTCCCTTGAGGTTTGTTATGAAGTAATTTGATTATAATTCTGGAAGTTTATAGATGGGCAGTATTAAAAATATGACGCATCTACAATATCTTATAGATGGGCAGTAATATGTTAACATGGAATTAATGAGGTAAAATCACCCCTGGCATTAGAATGAGATTTACATAACTGAAGTTGCTGTTGAGGAGACCTTCTTCAGTTTGATCAAAAATGTAACAAGAATTCCTGTAGGGTTAGGAGACTGACCAAGCAGTTCTGTTAACTACCAGTTAATCCAGCTGCATAGCTATACCATCATCCATTTGGCACTGATGAACCTACTTTGTTCTCTTTCTGTCTGTCTCGTGTTAAAACTATTGACATACTATTCGAGTATATTTATGACTATCAACAACAGATTACATTGACACCTGTTTTTCTATATGTACAAGAACTTTCTCATTCCTTCTTCATGGCTTCCCATGACTTCTGTTGGACTGCTTGTTATCGAGCACAATGTGCGTGACCGACTGTGTTCGAGCAGGAAGTGATACCACCATTGACTGAGGTGCACTGGTGCCATCATCTGCATTACTTGCTTCTTGCAGTCCATTATGTGTGCTGTTTTCGTCAAGGAAAACCCACTGTTCAAAACTTGTGCTGTTCCTGCTAGCATTATTTTCAGTGGATGCTGTAACCTGAGGTGTCAGTGAGGAGAAACTGATGAACTTATTTCCACTGCTACTGCCTACTCTAGGACCAATGTGAATGCTCTCCACAGGAGGCTGCTGGACAGTGTTAAGTACCCTTCCACTTCCACCACCCTCCATAGAAATTGTGGATGCAGTTGAGCTGTCTGACTTCCTGGGAGGAACAGGTGGCCTTGCAGGCTTGGTTCTCGGCTCTTCCATGTTGGAAATGTGATTTGCATTACTGCTGGCAATATTGACTGATGGTATTCTGTCTGGCATGATCCTCATTGGTATTCTAGAAGCTGTGTTGCGGATTGCTGTTACTGTAACATTTCCTTTCTGAGGTACGACGACACTATGAGCAGTGTCTGCTTCTTTGTCATCACCTTCGCTTGTGAAAGAGTCTGTTGACGGACTTGAGTCAGATTTGTATTTAAGCACTCTCTGAGTCACAGTGCTGCTAGAGATTTCTGCAGGTGTCACCTGCTGGTCCTGAGGGGTTGACTCTGTTATCATATCATTGGTGCTGCTATCAGCAGAGGTGACGACCTGAATTTCTGTAATGTAAGTCATGGATGGTGAGGGTTTATATGATGACAACTGACTGATAATTGGAACAGGAGATGTTGGAAGTTCTGGAGGCTGAGAGTCTTGTCCCCAAGTAGCATCTTCACTGTCATCATCCTTGGAAATCTGCTCGGCTAAGGTCGTCGTAGAATCAACTGCTGTTACAAATGGTTCTGTGATAGAAGCCAGAATGGAACCAGGATCACTGGTATCATGTGTTGTTGAGCTCACCACATGAACACTGCTGATACCGGCATGACTGGAAGTAACAATTGGAGACTGCACAGATTCATCACGCGTATGTGTTGTCATGCTGTATGCAGCTCCACTATGAGAAATTGGTGTTGAGCTGACCAGTCCAACCACAGGACTGCTGCCAGACTGTTGTGATGGAGACAGAGCACTGACACTGGACTGAACCAGGCCTGCCACCTCTGTGTTGAAGGCTTGTTTTCGTGGCAAGCTTGCTATTTCCCCAGAGACAATGTGGGTATCATGACGTGTTGGCATGGTATTGAATGTACCTGAGGCAATGGTGATCTGAGATGCAGTGGAGCTGAAGTTTGATTCACCACCTGGTTCTGGAGTGATACATAACACAGTTTTCTGTTGGTGTTTCAGACTTTCATTCTCCATTTGATCTAAGCTTTCTGTTCCACTGCTGCCATATTCTAAAACAGTTGAGTACCCCACATCATCTACATTGAGAATATCTGTTCTGGTTACCCCTGGGTGAGAATTTGTGAAAATAGCTGATGCAGATGCTGTGTCAATTTCTTTCTTTCTGTCAAATGTCAGAAACTGCTCAACAGCAGTTGACTCAGGCACAGTTACTTCACTTTGCATATGTGCTGTTCCTTCTTCTGTACGTTCATTGCTCTTGGAAGTTTGGAAGTCTACAGCCTTGCTATCTGACTGCATGAGTGCCTCTTCCAGTGTACCCCAGTCAGATGACTTTTTGAGCCGATGTCTCTGGAATGTATCCATGGCATTGTCCAGGCGAGGTTCCTTTCTATGTGCAATGCCATCATCTCCTTCTGGCATACCACCAAGGTAATCTTCACCAGGTGGTGGAAGCGGAGCTTTCCGTTTCTTACTGCTGTGTGGGGTACCACCATCTGCAAGATCCAGTGACACAGCCCGTTCCAAAACGCTCATTGGCTGTTCAGAATCGAGGCGTGAAAGGTCACCTAAAGATGCTGCTTTACGAGTGCTCTCATTATCCAACTGTACATTGTCTGATGATGGACTGTGGTGAATAGTGATGTGAGAGGAATTGAGTTCTATTGTTGTGCCCCCCTTCTTTGTCTTCTTCCCCTTTACCATAGCATCATAACTGTCATCATCTCCATCCAGTTGCTCCAGGTCTGAGTCTGAGTCAGAGTTAATGCTACTAACATTCACACCTATGTCATAGTCCAGGTGCTGCTGTCGAGGCTTGGGATCTTGTGTCACACTTTCGTCCCTTTCTGGTGACCCATCACTGCTTTGATCTCCTGTAACTGAAGCACCAAATGTGGTGGTATCTGTCCTAAGGGGCTTACCTGAATTGCCCTCAATTGTGATGTTTGTTATGTCTCTTTCCAATATATCAATATTATTGCGTTGCCTTGCCATATCAGCAAATGAGGTGATATTCTTTCCCACAAGAGGCAATGCCTCTATGTCATCAGCCATCTGAATATGTTCAACATCTGTTTGTCTCTTACTGCTATGTTGGGTTGAGCTATCTTTCAGTTTTTGCTCATCTCTCATCTCTCCCTCAGAGTCCCTATCAGACCCTTGGTATGGATTCTGACCAGCTGAGGTGGACTTCTCTTCACTTTCTTCAGGCGGTGGAGGAGGGGCTTTCCTCTTGTTTGGCCTCTTAGGTGTCCTCCCCAAACTATCACTGTCAATGTTATCAGGAAAAGTGGAATCTTCATCATCACTGGAACTGCCTCTACTAGGACCATCCTGTGAGACATTTCTCTTCCTTTCTTCAAACTGAGTCTCCACTACTGCAGTACCTAGAGATTTCCTGTTGCTGCGAGCAGCCATGGCTGCTCTGCAGACTTCTTCTGGGATTTCTGTAGGTATCTGACCTTGTTCCATGTCTTGCCTGCTCTCATTTTGCTGAGGTTTTCCCTCATTTTGCTTTCCAATCTTTCTGGTAGCTTCAATCTTGATAACTTCCTTGAGTTGTGGTGAAACTACTTGTCCTGTTGAATCCTGCACTTCTTGTTCAGAACTACCACCAGTGGTCTCAGGATTTATGCTACCAGTTTTTTTCTTGTCATTGTGGTGCAGCTTGTCCTTGAGATTTTGCAATCCCTTTGTCAACAGATTTTTCACATTGCTCTCCCCATGTGTATCCCCATTCTGCTTTCCTTCTTCAGGCTGATGCCCCATGAAACTATGTTTAGGAATCATTTGTGGCTCAACAGGTCCAATATCTATTCCTCGTTCATCATAGTAGCTGGAATTTGGCTTAGGTCTCCGTTCTACACCATCCACCTCTGAGATGGAGACAGAAACTATGCTCCTCTGGTTAGAGTGTGGGTTACTGCTTGGCACCTGAGCAACAGCTCCTTCACTAACCTTTTCAATGATGGAGTTGTGTTCATTTTGTCTGTGTTCTGCTTCAATTGCTGGTACCTTCATCCCCTGTTCAGGTGGGAACTCTCTACCTGCACTTTCTTTTGACCCTGCAGCCTCTTCATGAGCACAGTGAGAGTTTCTATGACCTGCATTTGAGTCTGGAAGCACACGCACACCAAACTTCTGGTACTTGCTAAGCGTGTCCTTACTAGACCTCTCTGGACTCAGAGAGTCTTGATTTCCAAGACCATTAGGTGAAGGAGTATCCTTGTTTGGTGCCCTTTTTGCTCTCTCTGGCTTAACAACAGCTGTGCCAGAGAGAACTGCTGCTTTCTCCAGTTTTATGTTATCTTTCCTTGCATCATTTCCAGTGGGTGTTGATGATAACTTAAGAGTTGGGTAGTCCCCACTCTCATCCAGCTGTGACTCAGTACGGGGTGACTTACCGATTCCACCCATTTGCTGCATCCTCCTCAGGCTCACTTTACCAATCTAGGGAAACAAAACAGTAAAATGTTATCTTTACACCCTTCATACCAAGTAGCTGCATGTAACCATAATGCAACTTTCCAGCCACTTCTATCACTAACTAACATTTATGCCAGATGTGTTTCAGCCCCATGGGGCTATTCTCAGTGGCTCTATGTTTGGTTCAACCTTACATGTTAAAATGTTTCACCCTAAAAATTGTAAACCATCAAGATCAAGTCCTGTTGAATTGATCCATCCATCATTTTGAGATATATTAAATCACAATGGTTAAGATGGGCGGGACATGTGGTCAGAATGGGAGAGTATAGACTGCCACATTTGGTATTAAACCAGAAATTGTGGGGAACAAGACCTAAAGGAAGACCAAGGAGAAGGTGGATTGATGCGATAGAGGAAGATATGAGAAAGATGAAAGTGTGCAATTGGAAGAATGTAGCTCAGGATAGGAAGAGATGGGGACATTGTTCGGGATAACAGAGCCCACCAAGGGCTGTAGTGCAAGAGAAGAAGAAGAAGAATCAAGTCCTGTTACATGTTAAAACAAATATTTGGTAACTATAAGCTAAAATACAATATACATGTTTTAGGTTATACCTACATCAACCACTGTGCTACCTTGCAACTTCAAATATTGTTATAGTTTATTTTCACTGCAAATATGTATCATGTCACTTGTAATGAAGCATAAATTCATATTTCTGGCTTATCTTCCAGTGGTTTTGATGTGTAGAACATCTGCCCATTTTGTAGTAGTTGTAGTAATGGTGCCTTCTTTGTGTCGCTTGGGGTCAATGAACATTTTAGTCTGTTGTGAAATGTGTCTGACATTGTAAATAAATGCTACTGAGTGATAAAAGTCGTTGGAAAGTTGTGTTATAGTAACAACATAATATGATGGGTAAAATAAAAAACACAAGTACAATTATACAAGACACTATGAGAAATACGCATAAAGTCTACAGGATATTAATGCCACTTGTGCTTCCCTCTCCTATTCCTAACGTTCCTGTAAAATACGTTGGTCAGGATAACAAGAACTGATCAAAATTAAAATTAGCTGGCATCTAGATACAAGAGAACTGCTTTTTCACTCAACCATTCCTTCTCAGTCCCATTTTCTTATTAAGACCTATTTACTTTAATGAATGGGATTAGTGTCTGCATTTTATTTCTATACACATACTATTAAAAGAAAAATAGTACTTTGTAAGTTAATACGACTCTCTAAAATCACAGCAAGGACAATAAAGACATTCTTTCTTATGGTGTCATTGCGTTGCTTACCTGAGCAAGATCTGCAATTGACTGGCTGCGGTAGAATGGATGGCAAATTCTGTCTCCTGGTGCAATACTCGAACCAGACGTTCTCTTGGTGCGAATGAGTGTGTTGGGGTGTGAGTTCGAAGCGTTCTCTACCTCTAGTTGCACATCATAGGGTGAAGCATAGCTCAAAATTGTGAGTGCATCCTCAAACACCATGTGCCGAAAGCTGATGTGGATGCTGTCAATCCGATCACCTGTTTTAAATGGTTTGTTGTATTAATTCCTAAGTCCAGCACCTACACTGGTATAAAATAGGGATCTGAGACAGTGTTTATGAACATGCAGAATATAATATGCTCATTCTGAACCCGAACACAGGTGAATGATGGATTGTAAAGAAGGTCGTTCCGACGGATGTATATAATCCAAAAAGTTTTAGAAGACCTGAATGCAGAGAACTGCTTACTGACATTTTGGTATTTTTAATTCTATTTTTTTACAGAAAAAAATTTGAATTGCTATACCTTCACGTCTAACTTAATGCTACATATTCTCAAAATTTAATTCAGAATTTTAAAAGAACTGAAGAAACTAAAGCGAATACTAAGGACAATAAATTAAAAGGATTTCAATATATCTATTGGCAAAAATACGTATCTTAAATCAAATTAATCAAATTCTACTAATCTTACGTATTTTAAGTTGCCTCTAATATAATTTTATAATGAGGAAAACCGTCATTTGAAAGCAGACTTGATCATTCTTAAGTAACGCATCACAAATCATACCTGGAGCAATACGACCAGATTCAGATGCTGGGCCTCGGTGTAGCACATCCTTGACAAAGATGCCATCCCGCATATTGCCACAGATATTGAAGCCTAGACCTGTGAAGTCATGACTCCTGAGTGCTACTACATTCATCTGGGGCTCCTGACAACATCACAGAAACAGGGGTGTCAGCCAGTGGCAGTTCTAATTTGATTTTAAAGATGCAGTGTGCCAGAAATGGTCATCACTGCCCTGATGATGGGGGCAGCAAGCACAACACCCCTGAAGACAAGTCATCTACAACTGACCTACTAATAATTAGCAGTACACAAATTTCACAGGAAATAAAAAATTAGTGCCTCTCATCAAAGTACTAACAATATGATTGAGAAAGTGTGAATATATGCACTATATTACAAATGCATTTCTGCAGTTTTAGTCCCCTCACTGACCTTAATGCATATTTATTACCAGAGGTGGTGAACGGAGTGGGTGAAGTGGGCCATAACCTCACAATTGGTTCCACCACTCCTCTTGATCACTGACATAACTTTAGTAACAGAAACGCAAGAGATGTCACGCTGCACAGACTCAAATTATCTTTCCACTTATTTTTGTTAAATATTTACCAAATTAAAAAATGTCTGAAATACAAGATATTTACTTTATATAAAAAAGTAATTCCTTTGTGTTATGATTGACTTCTCTAGAAAGTTGATTAAGTCCAATTTCAGCATTATGTAAAGGAATTATATTAGTCATGCAACAACAACAAAAATTACTCAATACATTTCAGTGTGGACTCCCCAGTACCAAATTTAATCAAAATCCATTTAGTAATTTCTTGATATAATGTGCATATACATGAAAAGACACCAGTAACTAAAAGTAATACCAATAACAATGTTCATAATAACAGACAATCAGATTAAATGGAGAATCTTGAAAAGGAAAACTTCTGCTGTCTCATGTCAAGAATAGGCTGGTCTTCACATTGATCAATTACAGACTCTCTTTCATCACTTCCATAATTAGTCAGACATTACTTATCAGCTAACAATAGTTTTATTGCCTAAAAATACATTAACTAAATTCCATTTATTACGAGGCATTGTGCACTGTACTGATGTTTCAGGGAAAGGAGTAAATGATATTCTATGGAATTAGATAAAAAAACATTCTCAACATCTGATTGGTTTCAAAATGTTATTCTCCTAATGTTACACTAACCATTCGAGAATAGGATAACAAACACAATATTTCTATGTAAAAGATAGGATGAAATATGAGGATGGAGAAAACTGCAAAATGACAATTTTCATAATATGTACTCTTTACCAGATTAGTAATGTGGTCAACTCAAACAGGGCATAACACACAAGGAGGAGATGCTCTTTACCAGATTAGTAATGTGGTCAAATCAAACAGGGCATAACACACGAGGAGGAGATAAGAAATTCACACAGAATTTCAGTTGAGAACCTCATGAGGTGACTCAATTCTGGAGACCTACAAAGATAACCTTAAAATCGAATTTTTGAAATACATTCTGAAGATGTGAATCTGACTGAACTGGCTAAATACAGGGCCCAGAGTTTAGCTTATGGTAACACGACAACGAATATTTTGGTTCCATAAATGTGTCGAAGTTCTTGGTCAGCTGAGTAATTATAGTATCATGTTTTGCATTTTATAGGAGTCTGATATGAACGCTGTTCAACACACCTACCACGGAAATCACCTTTCCGTCCCCACTGCATCCCCAAAAGTGACAGATGAGACTAGTAGCGGTGGGGTTACAATTAAACGTACTGCATCCCTGGAATGTGCTCCGAGGATGAAACTCATAGTACTTGAACGGTTTTCAGATAAAACGGAAGTTCACAGTGCAGTGATCTGCTGCCATCTGCCTATGGTTTACTGAGGCTTACTCTCAGTGCGGACCGACATAGATCGTCCTTGGGTGTTTTGCTTATAATTAAGATAACAAATACCTTTCTCTCAAGGCGCGGCCCGTTTCCTAGTCACAGACATGACTGTTCATACTCAGCATTCCTTTGTACAATACTGCTGAGCCACTGCAAAATTATTTTATTTTATGTAATGACACTTTCTTGCAACAATTTACATTCACAGAGTTATAATAATCAAAGCTCTAGCCTTGAACGCTTGCCCTATGGAACTCGCAACTACTTCATGATGATCTGCATGGTTTAAGGCGCGCCCAGTCTTGGACAATTAGAATTCTAAACAAACTCCATGGAGCAGAGTCCTTGTTCAGAAACAAAGTCATTCAGCTAATTAAGAAATCCCCCCCCCCCAGTGGAACCTGAAGGTTCAGTTCCATGATGACAAAAGACTGCCAATTAGAATTATATAATCGGATATTCAAATTCGACCATGAGCACAAATATATGTGTTGTGATATACAGACAGGTCTCGCGAGAGTGCATCCAACGAAGTTGCACTCACACGCATGGCGAACCACTGATATCGAGTGAGGTTTCGGCTCGGACTGGTGAGTATAGGATTTGCCTTCGAAGCCAGTTACTACAGCGAGACTTTTGTTTGAGTGCGCGCGCACAGCCAATCTGACACTTCTTCCGCAAGTCGGGATGATCCATAACATGTCACGTCTACGCTGTACTGATGATAAGTATTACCGCGAGACGAATACACTAATGAGGAGTTTCTAAGATACAACATTAGGAAGATAAATCAGAGGGTAAGAAAGATGTCAGCTAGCCCTGCTTTCGTCTGGAGGCACTGAGTAAAATCATATCATCTTGCAAGTAACCCGGTTCTCAGAAGGAACAGATTAGAGGCCGTTGGCATGGTCCTTTTAAATAGTCGAGGAACCACAAACGTGGTTCGAATCGGATGCTTCCATAATGGGGGTCACTGCTCAGTTAACCCGTTCGGATAATCAATGAACACGGAAACGAGAGTGTTTACGAAATCTCTTCTTATCCAATTGCTTGCTTATTTAACGATGGCGTATGCGTGTCTCTTCCTGTCCGTATCACTTCCTAGCAGTCTCCGCCCGATGTTGGTCTTTTGGGTGGCAACACCGCGTGGGATTTCTATCCGACATTCCGCATTATCTTAACACTGTCGAAACGTCGTTTGAAAGACGGACAGAGCGGCAGGGTGTAGATTCAGGATGGTTCAAAAGGTCTTCTGAGGGATACGGGATGCAGTGAATACGATGGATGACGTCATAATATTGGTTATTATTTGTAGTAACGTGGCAGTTTAAATACACAAATGGCGTATTTGAAATCCACAACTCTTAAGATCTACACTGAAGGTCGGACTGCCAGACAAATTGCGATCAATTTAATGATGCGACGCACAATCTAAGTTAAATATATGAAAGCACATCGGAATATTTGTAAGATGATAAAACACACACAAACCAGAATTTCAAATTGACAGGTCCTGATTGGTCAGTCAGATTGAAACTTGCGCCACTCTTTAATTGAACAACTAATTTAAGCTGGGGCAATAACTTCCACTGGCTGGACAAAATTGTTATAGCAAGATAATTTCGAAAGTCTGAAACATTCCAAGAAGCTAAACTTTCTACTAGGAGATGAGGCGAACGAAAGCGCCCTCAGTGGAAATTTCCATCAACCTGGGTTGCCAGCTTTGGTCGGTTTATGTAACCTGAATTTTGAATCTGCTCTCCTCTTACAGTCTCGATTCCATCTTAGGAAGAAAAAAAAGCCGTCGCCTGATCCACGGACTTGTCCAGCTGCAACATGTACGTAGATACCGACGTTTCGGATAAACATACTGTCTCCATATTCAGGGCTAATGTGGGGTTTTGGGGAACCACTGAGCTACGGGCGTATTTACGTGAACTAAAAATTAAACATGCCATACAAATATCCTGGAATGTTGTAAGACAATATGTCTTACAGTTAATTTAGATATATTGGGTCATTATTCGCTGGCTTCTCATCTCGGAGGCCCTGCTTCGCGCCCGTGACGTCCATGAGAAATTTGTGGCACTGGGACAGATTTTCCTCCCGAGTCGTTTGGTTTCCCCTGACAGCACTCGATGTTCATTCATGTACCACCTGGGAGATGGGCAATTTGTCCCATTAGCGGCCCAGTTACAGACATACAGAGTGATTGATATTACAAGAACAAAATTTAGAGGTGAGTTTTTCATTCAAAATCAATTATATAAGATCATAAACATTTGTCCGAAAATCCTTAATTTTCACGTTAGGACCATTTTTACGTTCTTGAACTTACGCCATCTGGTATAATGCTAAAATTTTTACGTCTAATATCTAATCACCCTACACAGTACCATCCCATCGCAATAACAACAACAATAAAGAAATTTTATTTGGCCAACATCCCGGGAGAACACCACACAAGAAATATGTCGGAATACACTTGCTAGTCATAAATGTACAGACAAGTGCTCATCACAGTTTAATGATTCACGATGAAGAGATTAGGAATCCCACGTCACGAACCACACAGCAGAGGCGTGAAGGTCAAAATGTAGGGCCTAACAAGTAGATGTCACGACGGTTCAAATAACTGAGGCCTATGTTAAATATTACGCTATACAGTGTGATTCAAAAGCACACAAGTAGGCCTATACCAGGTGATTCAAAAAGGACTTTACAACTTTGAAAGTGTATAGAAATTTATTCAGAAGGCTTACAGAATCGGTTGAGGTGTCATTTTGTAGCAAAACAAATCAAGTTTGACTCACGTTGTGCTGTAGTACCTAATTCCGTCACCGCGAGCGCAAGCGGCAGTGCATTTGAAAATGGCTCGAAAATTTTCTCATACCACAGTTAGACGAAGATGACCAAAAAGGACGCATTCACTTCTAGCAAGACGGCGCACCACCTCACTACCTCACAGAAGTCCGGGATTTCCTCAATAACCGTTTCCCAGGTCGGTGGATTGGTCGAACAGGTTCGATAGCAGATTTGACACCTCTCGATTTTTTCTTATGGGGTTTCATTAAAGATCGTGTGTATGTTCCACCCTTACCTGCTAATCTCACTGAGCTCAAAGCGCAAATCACCGCCGCAGTTGCAGAAGTGACACCGGATATGCTGGATCGTGTTTGGCAAGAAATTGATTTCAGGTGGGATGTCTGCCGTATCACCAATGGCAATCACATCGAACCAAAATGACTGTTTGAGGTAAAACTTGATTTGTTTTGCTACAAAATGACACCTCAACCGATTCTGCGAGCCTTCTGAATAAATGTCTGTACACTTTCAAAGTTGTAAAGTACTTTTTGAATCACCCTGTATTTCTAATGGTGAACTTGGGGTAAAACAAAAGTTTGAAGTGGGCTCCGAGTACTCAGAAACAACAATCTGAACATTTTACATTGCTGGCGAAGGCACGTACCAAAACAGTATGGGATAGTTCTTCTAGACATTGGCACTGTCGACGTCAATATTCCTAACAAAACTATCCCAAGGAAACCATCACTGGCTTCCTTCAGTTGATGGAAACTTTTGAGATTTTGTAGACAAGTTTAATCCCCACAGATAAAAATCAGGGGAAATAAGATCAGGCGACCTTGGTGGCCAAACGAAATCAATCGTTCACCGAACACATTGCACAGAAGATCCGTAGAGACGAAGAAGCCGCGGGCAATGTCAGCATCATTCAACTGCCCAATGAGAGGGCACAGAATCGGTTCACATTGTCGTCCTCAATGAATCTGAAGTCTATTGTCCAACATCCTGATATTTCACAACACACACCAAACCTATGATCGTACAACCTCGTGCGGCTGTTTGGGTGTTGACGTACCCGGGTAAATGAAACCACACTTCATCAGTAAAAACGTGTGACGTCCACAATATCTTATCCGTTGAGTGCAAGGAAGTTTGTAAACGATCGGTAAAATTGCGCACGTTTCCAGCTGTCACGTTATTTTACGTCGTATGCTTGTGATGTCTTATCCAGATGCACGTTCAGTTGTCTCTCAAGCGCGCTCTGTGTTGATGAATATGAGACAATGGATTTTTTCGTGCTTTGCATTATTCGATCAGAGATTTCCAGTACTTTGTACTCTGTTAAAACTCACGTCGTACCGGATCTAGGCGCGTCAACAACCGATCCAGTTCCTAGCTCGTCAATCAACTGCCTCGCTGTGTTGACTGAGGTACGTGAGATTCGACCTCTTCTGAGTATTCGCCTCCGAAACGGAACAAGCTTTCCACCAAAAGCACTCAGGCCTCGACCTCTTCTGAGTATTCGCCTCCGAAACGGAACGTAAAGTGACTTACTGTTGTCCAAGTTTAAAAGTTCCCAACACAAAAACTCACCAGTTCTCGAGTTGCAACATGCGGACAGACACGTGATGAAGCAAACAGACGTATTTTTGCACCTTTAGGTTGCGAAATCGTCTGAAAGGGGAAAAAGCAAGTGTTTCCGCTAGATTTTAGCTCACGTCATTCGTCCCTGTTATCCTGTATGTCTCTGATGACCACCGGGCCTCATTCGCTCAAATTAAGAAACGGGCGGAGCGGCTTAAACCATCTATCCCCATCAATAACCGAGGTACAGGAGTACATGATCCACGCTGACTCCTTCAGTACGCTTAAATTATTGCACCCTCACTTAAAACGAGCTACAGCAACGTTCAACCCCATGCCGAAACCTACCAGACATGTCCTGTTTCTTCCATCACAGTCCTAACTACTTCTGAAAGTTTAAATTATCTGGATAAACCACGTGTTCATAGAGAGCAAATCGTAGATTTAAAATGGAAAATTATCGATAACAGGAGCGTCACTGTAATTCCAGAAGTTGAAATCCCAACACTGCTAACACCAAAGACCGTCAGTGGAGACCGTACTGAGCTAGTTCCATCTATTAATATATCCGATCCTGACACCCCATATCCCTAAGATCCATCTTAATGTCGTCCTTCCATCTCTTACTGTCTTCAACTTTACTAATCACTTTGTTTTCAAAAAGGCTGCTTGTAATTCGTCTCCTTCAAAGTAAGAGTATGTAACAGATAATCTTTCACGTTCTTACATTTACTTACGTATTTATAGTTTATTTAACGACGCTTTTTCAGTAACTCAGACTACATAGCGTCGAATGAGAGGATGACTGCGAATAACGAACTGTAAAGGATATGAAAGGAAACGGTCGTGATAAAATTTGAGGTACTATCGCGGGATTTGTCTGGAGAGACTGAGGAAAACCGAAATTTGGGTCCGGTTTAGTAACGACGTTTACATTCTTATAAGGACAATATTACGTATATGTCATAAATGGAATTAATAGTTTCTGGCCGAATAACGCGATCGAGATCTATCTTGTATTCGGGAAATCCCGGGTTAAGCTTTCGACCCGGAGACCGACCATACTAACAGAGGTTTCTCGTGGTTTTCCTCAATTCTTTCAGGCAAATGTCGGAATAATACTTTAAAATAAATAAATAAATGTTGTAGTATTTGAAGTTTTCAGAGTGATGTGAGTTTGAACTGTGGTCTTCTGTTGCTATAGCCCTGAAGAACACAATTCAAAACGGTTTCTGAGCTCACTTACCCCAATAAAGGAGTCATCCAGGGCCCTTCGCTTGTCTGCACTGCGGTTCCCAACCAGAGCATTCCACGGCGACCAGCGAACAACCTAGAGAAGACAATGTAACCGGTCACTGATATGAAGGAATTAGTTTGTACAGGAAAGTACCTATCAGTCTTTGCTGTTTTTAGTGATCGCAAATAGCGACTTCAATTTGGTGTGTTTTATAACCGGTGAGTATTCGGTGGTTACACTGTCCTCACGGATGACTGAGGTAGGGTTAGTGGTGCCTGACTGCGCCTCAGAGAAGTCATGGAATATCCTCGGGTCGTTGACGGGAAACAGACGTCGAGTGTGCAGGCGAAGTTTGGATGCAAGTTCCTGGGATGTACACTTTAGATGGGAAGAAGTCTGTACCTCAGGATAATATTAGTCGGACTGAAGAAATGTAAAATTACAGCTTTCATTACTGGATCACTACAATAGTTGTAAATTTAATTGATAATTTCTAAAATTGAAATACGTACGACAACCATTTTACCAAAACCATTGACTGACATCTCTATTGTTGTGCTTGACAGGGTGGTAAGAGAAAACACGAAAAATAAATTTTGAAGTTTTGTTGTGGCTCTAAAACTTTGCCTGGACCCAGGGACAGCCGCTGTCAGCACAAATTGACTCTATAGAGGTCTCACACCGGAAGCTACCAGGGTTAGGGGTTGTGGTTCCTTGACATAAATCCCATTGTTGTGGGCTCGATTGGGTTTGAACATGTGGACCTCCACAAATTACTTCGAGGATCGAATACAATAGACTATAAGTCACACTGTTTGAGCATAATTTCATCAAGGTTTCCCATTACAGAACAGGCAAATCTACAGCCTTCGTACCACCGACACAATTTATTTTCAGCAAATACTTGTACAAGTCAAGACGACGGTAGATTACACTGAAAATTATTAATTATCAGGACTTTTTCCATCGTCTATTCTATCGGTCTAGTGACAGAGACTAACTCTATCTAAGGGGCCCAACAGAGTAGGTACCTCTCACCTGAAGACGGAGACAGAACCAGCCTCCGAAACGTCGTGGGTTTTAAAGAATAGACTATGGGAAAAAATCTGACAATGAATAATTTTAACTCTAAAATATGCTTTCTTTTACTATGTTACACGTAGAAACACGCAATTTAACAGAAGAGTTGAGAATTGTCTCTTCTCTTTACGCTTATGAACACCTGTAAACGAGAAATCATTAATGGGAGAGGTAACAAGTTTGCTTTTTGAGTGAACTGTCGTAATTTCTTACTCTCAGTGCAGATCCTTGTTCGGTGTAAAATAAAACATTACAATTTCATTCAGTGTTCTAATGGGAAATACGATTACATGTGGAAAATAACACGAGGTTTTATTTACAAAGCTAGTGGTTAAGGTTATGACCGCCGTTTTGGAACTTCGTTTGAACTTTTCGTGAACTTTTTTTTTTTTCAAACGATTGAAAAGCACTCACCTTCTGGTCCAACTTCGCTGGCTCCTTCTCCATCGTTGTGCGTCCAATCGGGGTGCCATCTGGAAAAACAATATTTGTGTATCATTAAATATATAACAGTTACTTATCGATTGTTTCCTTGTCTGTACACTTAAAAGTCGATGTTTGCTTATTAATAAATAAAGCTAGGATATTCAGACATGACAAATTCCTAAATTTATACTAAGATGTGTAGAGTTCTTGACTTAAGTTAAGAGAGAGAGACTATGTCACTTCGTCTCCCCCGCCACCTCCCTAAAAATATTTTAGCCTGGGGGTGACTTATGGAGTTTAAGATAAAAAATATTATTCTTTTCTTACTAGTTTTAGTTTTCGGTACAATGTTTTAATACTTTTCCATCACTACATCTCTCAATTTGAATTATAGCTCCTGATCTCCAATTTCTGGGTATTGTAAACTAAATGTGAACAAATTCATCTAACATTCTCACCTTCCTACAGCGTGTTTCGTTTTTGCCAGTTTCAATATCTGTGCCTAAATCACTGTTTCGTGCTGTATCCTGCTACCTAGGATGAGAATATGGAACGTCGTAATACTGCATAAACCGTAAGAAATAATATATTAATATAATTAGACAATAAAATGTCAGTGATTAAAATGTATTTGGAATCAAGTACAATATACCACATAGAAAGTACTGGCAACGAATTAATACTAAACAACAAAATATTACGCCATTTGAATTTCAGAAGACGTGGCCACAATGAACATAGGAAGAGATGTCATCAAGTGTAAGAATGAGAAGGAAGAAGGAGATTGGCGAATGACAGAAATAATGGAGTATGAACAAATAATAAATGGACAGAGGAGTGTGGTTTGTCTTAATATATGGGAAACGTAGTTGTAATAAAATCTTAAGAAAACGCAGAAGAATAAAGGAAATATTCAAAAGAACGACAAAGTAGAATAAAAATTGTAAAGCAAAATATAGAGCATGTTTAGTAACAAAATAACAGACCAAGAAACTTTACGAAAAAAAAAATACCGAACCGGAAGTGCCTGAGAACGACAATCAATTGAAGTTAGTTATGAAATTAAAAATAAGCTAAATTCAATAAGCTGATATCACTGCTTAGTTTAAGGATATTTATATTTGTTGTGGTGAAATAAAACAACAATCTGATGACGTCTTCATTCTGAGGTCTACGCCGCCTGCCAAGGTCTCGGGATAGGCCACTTTAGACGCATTACCAAGTGTTCTAGAAATCTTACTAGCTCAACCAGTCCACCAATCTGAACGGAGAGTGTGTTATTATTCAATACCTATTTCTACAGCCAGTACTTGTAATTATCAGGGTTTGTTAAAATGAACCCTCTTTTGCTAATGTAATTGCGGGTTTGAACTTAATTCATCGGCGATGAGGAGAATAAGCTGATGGCAGATAGCAACAGGAAAATCCGCTCAAATTGGCAGGGGAATTCCGGCTCGCCATCTTATTTATGCAATGAAATTCCCAGCCTGCATGTTAACAGAGTGTGTTAAATTTAACAAGAAATACAGAACTTTGTACTTTGCCGATTATTCATGTGTTCTTTTAAAACATAAACACGCGCGCGTGTGCAAGTGCATGCATACAAAAACATTCACATACTTACAAATTGCTATCGCAGTATTCTGTGAAGGTCGTACAAATTCAGATGTGCTATTTCCAGTCTTTCGGTCCATTTCTTAAATATTCATTTCTCACTGCTGCATTTAAAGTCACTTTTCTGTGGTGTGTTTTTACTTTTATTCTTCTTAATATAGTATTTTTGACAGAGTTTCTCTTAAAATTTCCATTTATTTAATTTAAAATTTTTAATCTTCCTTGCATATCCCTTCTTTTTACTGTATCTGTGATAACTTATAATTATGCTTCGCCTTCTTTATCTCTTACTGAATAGGACCTGTTCCAAGTTATAAATATTTAAATTATGATATTTGTCATCATCATCATCATCATCCATTGCTGTTTCCAGCCTGTGGCCGGGTCCGCTTGGTAAAGCCCCTCCATCTCTTCCTGTTCTATTTGTTGTATGATGGATCTCCGAGACGAGAAGCCAGCGATTAGGTGCGTGACTATTCACTTTTCAATCCACATCTATATGGCGTTGTTAAGAACGCATGGAGTTATACGTCCCCTTCACCACACGCCCTTGTGGCACAAATCTTAATTAATCGCAGAGGATGACTGCCCCAATGGACAAGCAACATGCAATAGTGCGTCTGGTGTCTGAAGGAATTACAGGGCAGAGATCCACCGACAACTGTATGCCAACGACGGACAGAATGACGTTTGTATGAGTAGATCGAAAGTTCAAAAGCAGCTCAACTCAGCGTTGTTAAGGCAGATAGATAAGGACGCCCATCCACATCCACAAAAAAAAATATGAATCGTGCTCAAGTAATGATTCTTAAAAGCTGTCGGGTAACTAATGCTACAAGATTGGACACTAATGTCGCTCGTCCTTCGTAGAAACCTCCAGTGTTGCTATCTTACTTACGCCGCACTCACTCAACAAAAATGAACTACAACTGTACCACTGGGGTACTGGGAACGACCCGTTCTTCAAGTGCCTGAGCACTGCGGGTCCCAACTTTAAGTTAGCTCGATCTATAGACATTTTGGTAGGGCTCCTTGGACGACGGATCGGCCCGTCGCAAGGCCTCTACCTGTACACAGGACAGCACAGCACAGAATAACATTCATGGCTTGAGTGGGATTCGAACCCACGGTCCCAGTGACAAAGCGGCACAAGGCCCACGCCTCAGACCGCGCGGCCACTGCGGACCACAGCTGTACCACACTCGCAGCATGTCACTAACCCAGAGCTAAAAGAAACCAAGCCAAAGCAATGTTGCCAATCGCACAATACAAATATTCCAATACTGCCCTTATTTTTCAATTCCCCTCGAACAAATCTGATCGCACGGCTGCTGGGTGCTACCAGAACTAATACAACAGAATACGGGTTACGGTGAAGACTTAGTACGAGGGGCTTCACAATTAGCATTCTTCGCCAAATGTCTGTTATTAGGATCATCATTTCAAGGAAGCTGTAACACGCATGAACAGAATGAGAAATACAGAATTTGGTCGGAATACCTAGAGACGAGTCCAGGTGGAAAATCTAGAAGCAGACAGAAAGATAATATTAAAATAGGTCTTAGAGGCATTCATGTCTCAAGACAAAGACCAGACGCGTTCTCTTGTGGGCACAACGATATATCTTCGGATTTCATAAAACCGGGAATAATAAAATTTTCCAAGAACTGTTGGTCCATGGAGTCGGCGTAGTTTTAAGAAGCTTTGTTACAGATGCAAATGTATGTCCTTCTGATACGTTCGATACTCAATAGCGATCCACCATATTGGACTTTGTTCTAAACGGTCGCTGGCAATGCGCTGGAATGAATGAATAATCCAGCCACGGACACTCCGTGTGCTGTGTATCATTTACCGCCAGTGAATTATGTGCTCGACAGAACACGAAAATATTCCTGCTATAGAGTTTGTTATTACACGGAAAGCCGGTTTTATGTCACACTTGGAGTACCAATGACAATTACGAGCGTTACCGTGTGCATTACGGAAATTTCGCGCTGTATTAATTTTGTGTCAGAAAATGGAATGCTTAAATGAGTAAATAAATACGTGGAATTGTTGCATTTTATAACGGGCGATAAAAAATAGGATTAAGGAAATTGATTATTACCGAATTGGAATAAAACATTTGATTTTGTACCTTTTTACTGAATTATTATTTTTTAATTGAATAAAAATTTACTTGGATATTATCCATCGTCTAGTAAATATAAAACGTAAAAACGTAAAACGACGTTTCGGAGATAGGGATTAGCTCTATCTAGTGGGCCCAACTGTGTAGGAACCTGAAGACGGAGATAGAGTCCCATCTCCGAAACGTCGTTTTACGTTTTATATTTACTAGATGATGGATAATATCCAAGAAAATTTTTATTCAATTGACTCTTCACCATCGTCAAGAAGTTTTAGATTTGATATATTATTTTTTACACAGGTAATTCACATGCATAATCACCAGTATCAATTTATCACCGTATTCATAGTGAACAAAGGCACAGGAGCTTAAAGAACAAAACTGTTTTGCGTAGTTACCTCGACATCAGCCACTAATATGAAATAAATAACTCCACGGAGCAGAACCCTCGTTGAGAAACTAATACGTAGTCTCTCGGAGGACAAGAAATTGTCCACTTTTTGTTGTCCTTGAAGGTGCATTACAAGAACACACCACTAGACCCTACCCTGAGCCAGATGAATCCAGTCGATATTCTTACACAAAATTTTTAACATAAATTTTAAAATTATTCTGGGTCTTCACAAACTGTAACTTCTCATCGGGTTTCTCGATTAAATTGCATATGCATATAATCTCCTATGCGTGCTACATACTCCAAAAATAAAATACTCATTTATTTGATGAACCTAATCATATTTTCTGAAGAGTACAAATTATGAACCTCTCATTTTGGCGTTTCCTCCAGTTCTCTGCCGCTGTAGCAATGTTGAATGACGATGATTCCGAAGTTATATCCAGTCTCAGTAGTGTTGCCAATCATAAAACGAAAATATTCAGATATATCCCTTATTTTTTTTAATTTTCTTCTCAGATCAGACTAAGGTTTCAGTAACAAGCACTTACCTTTGAAGCAAGGATTATCAAAGGCATATTGATCGCCGGCGCCCTCTGGATCAGTCACCAGAACCAGATGTTTTCCTGTGAGACAGAAAGGACACGTCTTAGAAAACAGGCGATGTAAATAGTAGCCTACAATGCCGAATTTTGTTAAATTTGAAGATAGGGAGATGGAAAAATGTGGTCACAACTTTAAATTCGGTCAAGTGACAATTATGAATTGAAGTTTCATTCAACTAAGTACCGAGGTTGTGATAACACGCCGAATGAATGAATGAATGAATCTATGTACGCCTACGTATACAAGGGCCTATGCATGCCAAAATTTATTTGATAATCTGATACTGATTTGATCTTCTGATCGGGAAACAAGGCCAAAATACATAGCACACACAGATTTCTTAACTCAGTAGTTTCTCTACCTTAAACCGTTTACAGGATGGTGGCAACTATGTTTACCATTTGATTAATCGTATGTCACCCACGCAGTCCCTTCTGTGGATTTCATTGGATTTTCAGAATTAACATAAACATTAATCCGAAACATGATTGAAAACTAAAGTTCTTGGGGGCATATGCCAACACTTGAAGTAGTTTTACTTAGTTGTACATCACAGTGTTAACTTATAGGCCTGCATGTTACCAAACTGTTGTTAAAATACGAAGCAATAAGGTTAACAGACATAAACGTGTTCATTAGCTCGGTAATTTCTTGTCTTAATTTAACAAACTGAAAGAGAGGAAGGCCACGTGACGACGCAGACAGAAGTTAGTATAATCGTTGATGTAAAGATGAATATAATACGATAACAAATTAAATAGCAACCATTTTAAATACAAAATAAACTGTCATTGTCTTGTACATGACATTCTCTTTTCGGTCGTAGTTCTATCATTATTATTTTTACAGTCAACGCCATCTGTTAGACTATCTCACTTTTCATGAACAGAATTTTTAATAAGTACTTGCAAGAAGGCGTGGCGTGTGACGTCATATCAACATAATTATAGAAAACATATTACTGACAATGGAAGGAGCTTGTAATCTATCCATAACACGAAAAAGCAGAGCAGATGTGAGATTCGTGGAATTGTTATAAATTATTTCTATCGCTGGAATCTGCAAAACAGTGAGGGACGTCATCACGCTGAGACTTTCTACGCCTTAACAGATTCCTTCACGCCCCGACGGACTAGCTGAGCATCAGATACGTTTGTGACCGAGTTACAGCGGGTAATACTGGCCATTTGAGACGGCAATGCCTACTTGTTATTGGCAGCGAACCTCCTGGAAAATTTCCTGGAAAGTCCATCTTGATCGTACTGCGAAATCATTAGACTAGTTTCCTACAGCATTCCGCTGAACCACAGAAAAATTATGTTTGTAGAACATCAAGGTACAGGGAAAAAAAAGTCATTCCTGTATTTCATTTTGTTTGTTCTTGGTTTATTTATTTATTTATTTATTACGTCGAATTACACGGTGATTACTGAATAATGGTTTCCAGGGGCAGAGCGTTAATGTTAGCCGTGTTAGCCATGCTAACAGATTAAGATATAAAAAAAAAAAAAAAGAGAAACTTATAGTCATTTAGCTAATTAAAAAATACCCTTCTTGTTATGGAACCAAGTGGTTTATTACCATTTCCACAAGATCCACCGTTCACGATTAATCCAGTCCAAACTTTTCCACTCCATTTCCTTGAGATCCATTTTTATATTATTTTCCCATGTGTGCCTAGGCCTCCCCATTAGGCTTTCGAAATTCTTGGTTGCATTTGAAAAGAGAATGACAAATTTCACCTCGTCTATGTATGCGGCTGATTACAGTCAAACTTAATATGATATTTGGTAATTGGAGTATACCATTTTAATACATATATTTTAGTTTATGACTTGTTATTGCGCAAATGAGATTAACATTACAAGCAGTGGAGTGGTTAAAACAATAAAAGATATTTAAAAAAGGAGAGAGAGAGAGAAGAAGAAGAAGAAGAAGAACCAATCATCGTCAGCCAGCTCCAGCCAGCTAGGCGCTCGCAGCGAGTGTAAACCTCAATTAGTTGGCTAACAACGCCTGGCTGACCTCAGCTGGAAAACGATGCATTTTATCAAATCGGTTCTTCTACGCTCCAGAGTGTGGAATACCAATGAACCACGAAAGCAAGACATAATCCGTTTTACGTTTTTCGTTTTTTCTATGTGTCAGCCAGGCTAACACAGTTGGCACGAACGCTCCGCCCGCGATTATGTCACATCTGTAGCATGTTTAATAAATTATACTGGGACCTTTGTAAAACAGTACTTCGGTGGTTTTGTATGTGGTTATTGCATGCCACGTACGAGTTTGCTAAATCGTTTGCCATGCTCCGAAGCAGGTCATGGCTTCCTTCAGGGCAAGTTACGTAAAGTAGCTCAATAGCTTCAAAATCTCACAAAACCCAAATGGTGAAAGGAATATATGAACAATTCAGGTAATGTACGCATACTGAAACAGTTTCTGCTCGATCGTTGTGTTACTGTTTCTAAATTTTCAATTCCTGTATGCTAACGTCCGATGCTGTCTCATAAATTGTATTAGGTATGCGTTGGGGACAAACCTGGACCACCAATATAAAGTTCGATTAAAATCAGGCCACGGTAATCGAATTTGAGATGACATGCCTCAAAATAACATTTGTAATTCAGTACGACTTACGAAAAATGTTTACTTTCCATAAAACGTGTTACATTGTTCTCTGCGACTGTTATTTGTAAAATTTCTCACTCCAATAAATATTTATCTGTGGGCTGGTCACTCACTACTCACAAATGCACATTTCAAAAGACCAAGTATCCTCCTAAGTGGGGAGGTCATGGCCCGAAAACGAGCCGAAGCACCATACATTATGATGAAATATTTATATAATTATGCTTGTTTATATAACGACTCTCTATCAAATGGATTGGTCATGGAGTTTAAAATTATACAATAATTCTGAAGGATGAATTGGAGATTACGCGAGAAAAATCAGTCGTGGACTACTTTAAGGTGCTTTCCCGCATTTGCCTACAAGGACTGAGGAACACAACCCGAATCTTGCTGAATCCTGTCTTCGGGAAAAGTGAACGCGGGACCCCAGGAGGGCCGAGCAGTGCGCCGAGATGAATAAATCATTTAGTATGAGGATGAAACCCCATACTACGAGCATGCACACGCTTTCACATTCCTCGCGTGTGGACAGTAGAGACGTGTCCACATCCGATACACGGCACAACATAGCAAAGAGCACACCACAGCCACTACAGCCGGCCGCCCAGTTAACGTCCACACTAGAATACGGCAGTCTTCTGGGAGGTTGCGCCATATACGCTGGCATTTCAGATGTTTTTACCGTCTCCCTCATCAGAACGAATCGTCCGCTGAAATGACGGTCAATTTCTAGTAGACTATAAGTCGCAACAACCCAGAAGACAACCATCTTCAGACTCACCGCCGTGAAAACCTCAAATCCTAAATGTTAAATTCCTCCTTTCTCCAATTCTGTCATCTATTCGATGTCTGAATAAAACACTTTAAAATCAGTCTTGAATTACAATTCTCTGAAACTCTGTACGTGCCATACCTCGCTGGAAGTCTGTAGCCCATTGATATAAAATTATGATAAATTATTTTAGAAAGTTATAGGAATGGAATTATGTTTTTAAATGAATATAATTTTGTTCTTAGCATAACAAAATCCCTGAATTACGCACACAAATCCATTATGGAAGCAAAGAAAGCTAAGTAATCATGCTCCTGAAACCGACGTGCTCATGCCAATAGCAGCTACTCCATGATAATGCTGTCAGCATCATGACAAGGCAAAGTCGAGGCGAGGTGAACACGTAACATGGCGGAAGCAGGCTGTCGCAACATTATTTGCAGGAGCAGTATTATTAGGTAAAGAGATTACTTCATATGTGGAAATAGCAACATGAATTGACAGAGACGTTAAATCACTCAGAATAAGCTTAATCGAATTGTAAGCAGTATTTTAAATAACTGCATTCACCATTTTCTGAACACTGTCTAGCATGTAATTGGTTTCTTAACTCACTGGGCACAGCAGCAAAGGATAACGTGTTAATTAATACAGGCGTTCAGAATTATCGCAGCAGGAACTTGAGGAATGAGAAAACAATAAGATAAATATCAAATTGCTGCAATTTTTGAGACTGTCTTCAATTTACTACGAAATATGAATTGTACTGCTCACGCTGAAGATTTCATGTAATGGAAACTGATCCCACACTGTAGTGCACGCTCTCTCTCTCTCTCTCTGGTGATTTCAAAACTCTGCTGCAGGTGGCAGACCATGATTATAATTTAAAATGTCCATCGTTAATTCCTCAAACAACTATTTATACACAAGCGTAAAGCCTAAATTAATGGATAACTACTTGTAATTTACTTTAAATTCTTTGCCATATTATACGCAAATAATTAAGTTCCTTGTTTACTATAAATTTAACTTTGTTATTTGTCATGTTACACCCAGATACGTGCTGATGATTTGTTCTCAGACAAGTTTTAAGCCTAGTGCACTGCCTGAATAAAACTAGTCGCTTCCAATTCTTGGAAACGACTGGAAGAAAGCAGAACACATCCTACTTTCTGTACATTTCATTCTAGATGGGCCTATTTTATATCAAGGTTGCGATGACGATGTCAGTACAGAGGGTTCTAGATAAGAAAGCGTAGATCTAAAACAAGAGGAGTTAGGAAATCATTTATGTATATATACACTAGTCACGCCACGGTGGTCTAGCGGTTAGAACGCTGGCCTTGTAATCCTGGGGTCTCGGGTTCAATTCCCGGTGGTGCTCAGATTTATAACTTGTGTTGGGCAAGGCCGTGGTCTAGGTAACACGGAGTTTTCCTCCGTGGCATCCCAACAATTACTCCATTCACACACAGAAGAAGGCAATGGCAAACCACTTCTGGATCATCTGCCAAGAACGTACATGAACAGGTCCCAGTCCGAGAAAAGGATGGAAGGATCCTGTTCATGTGGACCTGTCGTCAGACAGAACACTAAATAATAATAATAACACTAGTCAATTTAAGGAAGCTTTG